CACCTTAGCAACCGCATAGCAACACCCTGGCAACTGCAATGTGTTAAACTACTCAGAACACCTTAGCAACAGCATAGTCACACCCTGGCAACCAGCCACAATACCCTGGAAACTGTAATGCAATGGAAAACACATAGAACACCTTAAAAAAACACATAGAAACACCCTGACAACTGCAGCACAATGGCTAAAAACTACTCAGAACACCTTAGCAACAGCATAGCAACGCCCTGGCAAATGTAATGTGTTAAAAACTAATCCTAACACCTTAGCAACCACACAGCAACGCCCTTGCAAATGTAATGTGTTAAAAACTACTACTACCACCTTAGCAACCACATAGCAACACCTTGGCAACCACCCAAAATGCCCTGGAAACTGTAATGTGTTAAAAACTACTCAGAACACCTTAGCAACCGCATAGCAACACCCTGGCAACCCACAATACCCTGGCAACTGTAATGTGTTAGAAAACCACTCAGAACACCTTAGAAACCACATTGCAACACCCTGGCAACCACCCACAATACCCTGGAAACTGTAATGTGTTTAAAACCTACTCAGAACACCTTAGCAACCACATAGCAACACCCTGGCAACCACCCACAATACACTGGCAACTGTAATGTGTTAAAAACTACTCACAACTCCTTAGCAACTTCACAGCAACGCCCTGGCAACTGCAATGTGTTAAAACTACTTGGAACACCTTAGCAACCACATAGCTACACCCTGACAACCACCCACAATACCTTGGCAACTGTATTGTGTTAAAAACTACTCAGAACACCTTAGCAACCGCATAGCAACACCCCAGCAACCCCCCACATTACCCAGGCAACTGTAATGTATTAAAACACTACTCGGAACACCTTAGCAACTACATTGCAGCACCCCAGCAACCCCCCACAATACCCAGGCAACTGTAATGTTTTAAAACACTACTCGGAACACCTTAGCAACTACATTGCAGCACCCCAGCAACCCCCCACAATACCCAGGCAACTGTAATGTTTTAAAACACTACTCGGAACACCTTAGCAACTACATTGCAGCACCCCAGCAACCCCCCACAATACCCAGGCAACTGTAATGTTTTAAAACACTACTCGGAACACCTTAGCAACTACATTGCAGCACCCCAGCAACCCCCCACAATACCCAGGCAACTGTAATGTTTTAAAACACTACTCGGAACACCTTAGGAATTGCAATGTATTTAAAAAAACATTGGCATGAACTCATAAGTGGATCCTCACTGGTCAGGAGCAGCTGATACTGTGGAATCCTCTGGATGGGTTTCAGCATGTAATGTTTCACTGCCAGGTTTGCACAGCATGGAAGGCTCTGTGAGAGAGAAAGAGAAAGGCAGAAGATGACCAGAGGGACATTTTCAGAGAAGTTTTTAAGAATGTAAAAAAAGAAGAAAAAAAAAAGAAAAAAACCCAATAGACCATTCACACAAACTAGAGCATCTTGATTACTACTGTCTGAAGTGAACTGAACAAACAGGTCGGAGTGGTTCTGTCACCTCAAACTCTCGGACGGCTTTGGCAAACGCTGGGTTTTTCCGGCAGTGCTCTTCTAGAAGGGCCACATTCTTGTCGAACTCACGAATATAAGTGGAGTACATTTTCAGATAAGGGCCTTTCTTCACAAATATGTCTGCTACACCGCAATGCTCGTTCCTGTTTGAACAAGGAGACATCTATAAATAGTTCACATAAAAATACTCTCTGGCATCATGTATGTTGTTCCAAACAGTGAATAACAAGATAAATTTCAGGATGTTTTTCATAGAAAGTTATGATATTGCTTTAGAAATTAGGAAAATAGTGCAAGAATCATTTAGACTATTTCTATGATATTTTATTGCGCATTTGGTTCCTTTTTGAAGCTTGAAAGCTGCAGTCCTTTTCATTGTAACTGCATGGAAGGAGCAACTAGCACATTCTTTAAAGTTTCTTATTTTGTGTCAGAAGAAAGTCGTACAATTTTGGAATGACAAGTGGGTGAGTAGATGTTAGATGTAGAATATACATTTTAAAATATTTACATTATTAAACTCTTGAAGTGTTATATTTAAGTGACTAGTCAAATCTAGTTTTCTGACACTTTTTGGATAAAATGATGGATAAAATTAACCCCAAATATTATATGGGTCAATGATATGATGTTTATATTTGGAGCATCTATTAAATTAATCAATACATGCATTGACTTAAAAAACACCTGTTCTATAAAGACAGTTTAAATTTTTTTAAAGCTTTTTTTATTTGTATTTATTTATTATTAGTTCAGGTTGTTAAATGTAATGTAGTGTGACTTTAAACATGATATTTACTGTAGAAATTGTTTTTAAATAAATTAAAATAATTTTTTTAATATATATATAATGATCAAAATGTGCACACATGTAAACTGTTTTGTTTTGGTTACACCACACCACATTTATTAAATGTAATATTTATGACATATTTATTAAATATTTTCTTGAATATTTTATTTAATTTATCTTGAAAATGAGCCAACATTAGTACAAAGAGTACATTTCTAAAACTTGACACGTTTGTTTTAAACTGGATTTTAAATGCTACTCTTATATGTGACCCTGAACCACAAAACCAGCCAAAAGGGTATTAACCCCAAATATTATATGGGTCAATGATATGATGTTTATATTTGGAGCATCTATTAAATTAATCAATACATGCATTGACTTAAAAAACACCTGTTCTATAAAGACAGTTTAAATTTTTTTAAAGCTTTTTTTATTTGTATTTATTTATTATTAGTTCAGGTTGTTAAATGTAATGTAGTGTGACTTTAAACATGATATTTACTGTAGAAATTGTTTTTAAATAAATTAAAATAATTTTTTAAAATATATATATAATGATCAAAATGTGCACACATGTAAACTGTTTTGTTTTGGTTACACCACACCACATTTATTCAATTTAATATTTATGACATATTTATTAAATATTTTCTTGAATATTTTATTTAATTTATCTTGAAAATGAGCCAACATTAGTACAAAGAGTACATTTCTAAAACTTGACACGTTTGTTTTAAACTGGATTTTAAATGCTACTCTTATATGTGACCCTGAACCACAAAACCAGCCAAAAGGGTTAATTGTTTTAAATTGAGATTTATATATCATTTGAATAAATAAGCTTTCCATTGATGTATGGTTTGTTAGGATAGGACAATATTTGGACGAGATACAACTATTTGAAAATCTGGAATCTAAGGGTGCAAAAAAAATAAAATATTGAGAAAATTGCCATTAAAGTTGTCCAAATGAAGTCCTTCGCAATGCATATTACTAATCAAAAATGAAGTTTTGATATATTTACGGTAGGAAATTAACAAAATATATTAATGGAACATGATCTTTACTTAATATCCTAATGACTTTTGGCATTAAAGAAAAATTGATCATTTTGACCCACACAATGTATTGTTGGCTATTGCTACAAATATACCCCAGCGACTTTTGACTGGTTTTGTGCTTCAGGCTGACATATGTCATTGACTAATAAAGCAAATTTCTTTGTCTAGCTTAGCTATTACATAAGTATCAAACATAAATTTGTCTATAGTTCTACAGTGACATTTTCCATGAAACTGTGACCTACAAACGCACTGTAGCTACCGACTTCGCAGCATTTCAATATCAATAAGAAGGTATGCAGAATTGTTGTTTTCTGATAGTTTGTTGATGATTTTATTACCAGTGAGCAACCCGTTCCTCCAGCTCTCTCAACAGGTCACAGTTGAGCTCGTACAGCTGCGGCAAATAACACAAGATCTGCTTCAAGACTCGCTCGTCGATTACGGGTTTCCCCGCCTGACAGGAAGCCTTCAGTACCGCGTCACGAAAATCCTGCAGGGCAAAAGGAAGTGAAACCATTATTTTAGATACTATTCCAAAGACATTTTACCATCAGTAACACCAAAAGCTCTGATAATGGCCAACGTCTTTGTAACTTAACACAATAAAAGTATCATAATAGTTCAAATTAGCTCAATTAATTGGAGCCTGGCAGACCCAGCTCCCATATTTTTCTCATTATATTACCAGAATATTCCATATTAGTTCTCCTATCGCAAGAAGAAATACACTAAATTCATACGGGTTTGGAAGGACATGAGGGCGAGTAAATAAGGGTGAACTCTTCCTGAACAATGCCTAAACTGGTTTTATTTACCCCAGACTGATTTTTACCTAACAGACTACAAACAAACCTGCTGATCTGCTTCAAAATGTAAAATTACAATACTGATCCCAAACAGTAAAGTGTGTTCATATAACTGTATGATATGACTCTTGTTGTAGCAGTTGTGTAGCAGCCAGGCCGATGAAACTAGTTAGTCTCTACTCTAACAGCTGAATGAAAAAAGCAGCTTGCTACTTTGATGCTACCAAATTGCTATTTGTTTTTTGTTTTTAAATGGTGGCAAAAATACTGAGAAACTAATAGATTCATTGCAATAATGCTACTGCAAGTCTGTCTGCTTTCACTAATAATGTATAAGAAACAGATGAAGCATTAAAAAGCAGATTTAGAAAAGAGCCCATGTGACTGATTTACTCACATTTCATGAAACAGGTGCAAAAGCAGGGCTTTACATGGGACATTACGTAATGGCTGCTACTTAACGTGATTGTGCCTAAATCAACTCAAGTCATTGTGAACACTTACTACATGGAGGAGCTTCAGCACTTTCACAAATCTGGAAATAAACAGAGAAAAAGTACAATTAAGAGAATTTTAAGAAAGAATACAAATATCAAAAGGAAGGATTTATGCAAATAAAACTTAAGTTCTGTCATGGTAATGTACATGACAATGTTAATGTGTTTGGTCTTGGCGGAATAGATCTGCTACGCTGCTGCGGCAGAGCAAGTACCGAGACTTGCTACTGCCAATACATCCACAACATGCTGCTGTGAGCATGTAAGAAATACTGCTGCTGCACATATAACATACATGAAATAACCCTCATATAGCATACATGAATCACCTCGTAGCAGATCTATACAGGTGGAGCTGGGGAAGGTGAAGGGTTTCTGAAGTGCGCTGCAAACTGCTACAGCAAACAAAAGCCAGGTATTTGAATATTGAGCAGTGAGCTCATTGGCTACCGATACAGGAGAGAACTAGTGATGTCCGATTCTCGAACGAATCGTTCGATTTAACCGGTTCTTCTTAGTGAACCGGTTGAACCTGTTCACCAAGTCCGACTGAATCGTTTGAAACGGTTCGCATCTCCAGTAAGAAACATTAATCCACAAATTACTTAAGTTATTCACTTTTTTATCATGGCTGACTCTCCCTCTGAGTCGAAATAAACCAATATCCCGGAGTAATTCATTTACTCAAACAGTACACTGACTGAACTGCTGTGAAGAGAGAACTGAAGATGAACACGAGCAGAGCAGCATGTGTGCAGCGTGCCGGGTAACGAACGAACACGCCCACTGCTAGAGCGGTTCTCGTTCTCG